TCCTGTCTGTGTTTTCTGTTTTCTCCCCCTGTTCTGGAACTCCAGTCACTCGAAGATTTTTGCTCTTGATTGGATCCCACATAATTCTTACGGTTTCTTCATTTTTCTTTGGTCTTTTTCTGATTTTTCCTGAAACAGAGTTGTTTCCAAGTGTTTGTCTTCAATTTCCCTGACCCTTTTTTCCATCATTTCAAACCTGCTCCTCAGCCCTTCTGTGACACTGCCCATTTCTGAAATCTTGTTGTTTACCTTTTGGATTTCTAATTGTTGTATTTGTATGATTTCTAGTTGTGAATTTATTTTGGCATTTTGTTCCTGTATTATTTTCCTGAATTTTTCTATTTTTTTGTCTGTATTTTCCATGAATTTGTCTATTTTATCCTCATTTCTGTCTGCTTTTTGCTTCAACTCTTGGATAGCTCTGAATATTAGAGATTTGAATTCCCTATCAGATAGTTCTAATGCCTTTTCTTCTACTGGAATGTCATCTGGTATTTTATTTTGGATGCCTACTGGAACCATCCTGTCCTTTTTTTTTAATATGTTTTGGTAGTGTCTGTTGCCTTTGGGACACTCAGTAATTTTCCTCATTTATTGATTATAGATTTGTTTGTTTCGTCCTGCTTTTTTTGTTTTATTTGGTTATGTCTGAGCAGGCGAGCTGTGCGTTCTTTGTTATTTGCTCATCTGTGGGCACGATACTTTACCCCTCTTTGTCCAGTCGGCATGATACTGGGGAAGTTTTCTGTTAGCAGTTCTTCAGTGTTCCTCTCTGTGTCTTCTGTTTTCTCCCCCTGTTCTGGAACTCCAGTCACTCGAAGATTTTTGCTCTTGATTGGATCCCACATAATTCTCAGGGTTTCTTCATTTTTCTTTGGTCTTTTACTGATTTTTTTCTCAAACAGAGTTGTATCCAAGTTTTTGTCTTCAGTTTCCCTGATCCTGTTTTCCATCATTTCAGACCTGCTCCTCAGCCCTTCAATGACACAGCCCATTTCTGAAATCTTGTTGTTTATCAACTCAGCTGTGGTACAGTAAGGCAGGTCCTGTTGAAGCGGAGTTGCTGGGGTGGGTTTTTTGTGGCATGTACTAGGGCCAACAGGGTGGGCCGGAAATCAGTGCAGGGCAGGTTCTGGGAGGCCATGCCTGTGCTGCTCAGGGGTGTAATGTTCAGCTCACCGTGCAGGTAGGCAGGAAGGAGGAAGATCGTGATGTGCGGAGCTAAGATGGGTGTGGGAAAGAGGAGAGAGAGTAGAAACAGGAGCCACAGACAAGCAAACAAAAAGAGTACTAAGGGAGCTTGCTGTTGGAGTGGAGAGATGAGAGACTGAAAAATGGAGAAAAACAAAAAGGATAAAAGAAAATAAATTTTTTAAAAAATTCGAAGAAAAAGAAATGCAAAGCCCCCAGGGACCCCACCAGTGTGGCTGCGAAGACTAGGGATGTGGCTCCCAGGCCAAGAAGTACAGCCTGGCTAGAAGTGGTAGAGGTGTCAGACAGCACCAAGTATTCAGGAGACAGGAAGACAAGGTAAGTATAGAGAGACGAGAAACTGAGAAATGAGGAACGACAAAAAGGAGAGGAAAATAAAAAAGAAATGTCCCCCAGGGATCGCACTGTGTGGTAAACTGGCTAGAAGGGGCTCCCAAGCTGAGAAGAGAAAAAGAAAACATATCAAAACAAACAAAAGCAAAAGCCCCAGGGATCCCACCAGCGCGGCGGTGCGGGCTGGGAAGCAGTTCCACAGTTGAGCAGCATTTCACAGTCTTTCAAGAAGAAGCAAAGATGGCACACGGAGCCAGGTATTTGAGAGAAAGGAGAGGAACATGGGGAGAGGAATGGAAGAAAGCAAAAGAAGCAGATAAAAGCAACACCAGCAACAAACAAATGGCATTCAGGGAGCCAGCCTGTGTGGGTGGGTGGACTCCAAGCGGCACAGGGCTGAAGCCAGTGCCTCCCGGCCAAGAAACTGGCCACAGGAAGCAGAGGAGGCAGAGTGGGGATTAAGAAGGGTGGGGGGTGGGAGAGCATATATTGCTGGTTACCAGTTGTTCTGTCTCCTGCTGGGAGCTCCATGAAGCTACTTTCCCATACTTCCTGTTTGCTGATCTCCGACAGGAGTCCAAGATGGCAAATCCGTGCTGCATTAGCTGATAGGGGACCTCTGTACATATCTTCCTCGCTCTCTGTTCTGTCAGTTTCTTATTCCATTCAGTGCTTGGCTGAGTTCTTTATCTCTTCACTTGATGCTTAGGGTTCCAGGATTGATGTCTGCCTCTGTTTGACTTAGTTTTCCAGGTCTTTGCTGTGGAAGGATGGCATGGTGCTTTTGTCTTTAGCGCCATGTTGTCCGGAAGTCCCTTGTTTTACTTCTGATGTTAATTAACATATTCTTTTATGTTTATTTTTTGTTGTTGTTGTAATTAAATGAAGTTTACATTTCAAATTAGTGTCCCATACAAAATTTTTATACTTACATTGTTATGAGACCCTAATTGCTCACCCGTTTCTGCGATAGCACACTCCTCCTTTCCGCCCCTGATACCGCATGACCATTCAACCAGCTCCTAACTCTCTCTGCCTCCCCATCTCACCTCTGGACAGAAGCTGCCCCTTTGTTCTCTTCTATCTACTTGAGCTAAGAGGCACACTCCTCACGAGTATCACTTTATGTCCCACAGTCCAGTCCAATCCATGTCTGAAGAGTTGGCTTCGGAAATTGTTTTAGTTCTGGGCTGACAGAGTCCAGGGGCAGTGCTTTCTGGGGTTCCTCCAGTCTCAGACCATTAAGTCTGGTCTTTTTGCTAGAATTTGAGTTCTGCACCCCATCCTTCTACTGCTCCATCAGGGACCCTCTGTTGTGTTCCCTGTCGGACATCCATTGGTGGTAGCTGGGCACCATCTAGTTCTTCTGGTCTCAGGCTGATGAAGTCTTTGGTTTATGTGACCTATTCTGTCTCTTGGGCTAATACTTTCCTTGTGTCTTTGGTGTTCTTCGTTCTCCTTTACTCCCAAGTGGTTGGCACCAATTGATGCATCTTAAATGGCCACTTGCTAACTTTTAAGGCCCCAGACACCACTCACCAAAGTAGGATGCAGAACATTTTCTTAATAAGCTTTGTTATGGCAGTTGACCTAGATGTCTCCTGAAAGCATGGTCCCCATACCCTCTACCCCTGCTACTCTGTCTCTCAAAGTATTTGATTGTATTCAGGAAACTTCTTAGCTTTGGTTTAGTCCAATTGTGCTGACTTCCCCTGTAGTATGTGTTGTCCTTCCCTTCGCCTAAGATGATTCTTATCTAGTATCTAGTTAGTGAATAACCCTCACCCTCCCTCCCCACCCCCGTAACCAACAAAGAATGTTTTCTTCTGTGTTTAAACCTTTTCTTGAATTCTTATAATAGTGGTCTTATACAGTATTTGTCCTTCTGTGACTGACTGAATTCAGTCAGCATAATAAGTTATGCATATGCATAATAAGTTATACATAGAGACGAAAGTTTATTAATAGTTACCAAGGCCAGGGGAAGGAGGAAATGAGGTATTACTCAAGTAACAGAAACTATTACCTGAGTTTCTGTTTGGGATGATGAAAAACTTTTGGAAAGAGATAGTGGTGATGGTTGCATAACATGGTAATTAATGTCACTAATACACTTGAAATGGTTAAAGTGGCAAACTTTTTGCTATTTATATTTTACAGTAAAATTAAAAAATTTCCCTCATTCTGTGCCTCAAACACCTCAGTCACACTCAGCAGCAGCAATCACTGTTAACCACTTTTTACTCATTTTTACACACTTACACATATTTTATGTGTATATGTAAATATGGGGAGCCCTGGTGGCGAAATGGTTAAGTGTTAGGCTGCTAACCAGAAGTTCAGCAGTTCAAATCCACCAGTGGCTCCAAGGGAGAAAAGACCTGGCAATCTGCTCTCAAAAAGATTACAGACTGGGAAACCCTATGGGGCAGTTCAGTTCTGTCGTAGGATCACTATGAGTCAGAATCGACTCTACGGCACACAACGATAACTTATCTAAATATATATACATAAATAAACATTTATGCTTTTATTGGCAAACCTTTTTTGTTTCAAATTGGGGAACAAAGGAATACTAACAGTCTTTTGTTTAATCATCACATTTTGGTCCTACTACAAGATCATTTTGTGATATTCAGTGTCTAACAGAGCTTGCTTCCTGCAAAGAAAGTAAATCAGCACTATGATTAATTTTTATAATGTACTAGATTTTTGTGATTTTCATTCTGAAATTTGAATTTATTTGTGGTGTTTTAGGAATTACTTCTGTCTGAAACAGAGACTCCTATTTTACCACCGTATTTATCTTCATCTCTGCCTCCCCCAGAAGAACTTTACGCTGTTCAAGTTAAGCATGTTGTCTCACCTAATGAAGTATGTAATCTAAATGATTAGTTGGTGGTTGAAATCATAAGCAATCTGGGTCTTAAACTCTAAGATTGACTCTTCTCTTCTCCATCTTCAAGACTTTAGTGATTGAAAATCAGTGACTTCTAGGTTGTGCCACCTTGTAATTTCCTTTTCAGGCATTTGTTTGCACTTAATAAGTCATCTGTTGTTTTATCAAGTGCTTCTTAAACGCCTGCTGGGTTCCCGGGTGGTGTTGCTTTAGTCAGTGTTATGTTATATCAAATATTTAGATTTTTACAACCTGGAACTGTTACACCTGGGAAATCTTAAACATCTCACTCCCTTTCCCTCTCCACACACCGACTGCTCCTTACCCTGCTCTGTGTTTTTCCATACCGCTTATCACCTTCTAATACACTATGCCACTTTTTAATTATGTTTGTCTGCCTCTCCCCAATAGAACGTAACTTCATGAAGACATTTTGTTAACTAATGTATCCCCAGAACCTAGAATAGCACCTGATATACATAGTAGGTACTCAATAAATATTGATCGAATGAATAAATAAATGCACTAAAGAAAATTCTCTTATATACTCTTGGCTAACAAGGAAGGGAGAGAGGACAGATTAAGCAGTGCAAGCAGTTTCTTCAGCCATTTTACTGAGTATACCATTCTCTCACAGGCAAGGGAAGGATTGGCTCTACACTTTCATCATCAGCTAGCATAGTAGTGTACAGTTGTTGATTTTTATAATGATTTTTGTATTCGTTATTTATTGCTGTACAACAGATAACCCCAAGCTTAGCAGCTTAAAACAAACATGAATGTCAGGAATCCAGAAGTAGTTTAATTAAATAGTATAGCTTGGCATCAGGATGTTGGCAGGGGCTACAGAATTCACTTCCAAGAAGACCCATTGGCATGACTGTTGGCTGGAAGACTCAGTTCCTCACTTCTCCATTGGGCTGCTCACAAAAATGGCTTTCCTGAGAGAACAATCTTGAGAGCACACCTCCAAGATAGAAGCCAAAACGTCTTCTATAATCTAATCTCAGCAGTGACTTAATTTTGTTATGTTCATTTGGTGACAGAGATCAACTCTGGTATAATGTGGGAAGGGAGTATACAAGGGTATAAACATCAGGAGGCAGGGATCCTTGGGGACTATCATTGGAGGCTCTACCACAATAATTTCGTCCATATAAGCAAATATTAGAAATTGCAGAATTTGAAAGTTTTTCCTTCCCTCCCCTGCCCCCACTTAGGTATATATTTGCCTTGACTCTATAGAAAATTTTAATCAGTTGAACCAACATAGTGACACAGATGATAGTGGAGTCAGCTGGGAATCGGAATCTGAGAGCCTTGATGAAGCACTACGAAGGTTTAATAAAAATGTAGAAACATTTCTTCCTCTGACAGATTTTAGAACAGGTATATTTATTTATTTTTTGAGTAAAATGTGATTCTTAATAAAAGTGTTTTTTGTTTGTTTTAATAGACTGAGAGGTTGGGTTATTTCTAATGTTAACTGATATCTTTATCATACTCATTTTACATTCATAAACCAAATCCATTGCCGTCGAGTCAATTCCAACTCATAGTGACCCTATAGGACAGAGTAGAACTGCCTCATATGGTTTCCAAGGAGCAGCTGGTGGATTCGAACTGCCAACCTTTTGGTTAGCAGCCGAGCTCTTAGCTACTGCTCTACCAGGGCTCCATAGTCTCTTTGAATCCTCAAGACACCCTATAGATGTTATCTTCCCCATATATAGTTAAGAAAAGTGAACTAAGAGAAGTTAAGTAACTAGCTTGGGGCACTCAAACTTTTCATAAAATCAGGCTGCATTAGAAAATGGATTGCATGAAGATGATTTTCTAAGCTTGAGGTTTTACCTGTAGCTCACATTTTAAGAGTGGTCATTCAGACCTTAATGGTAGAAAATTTAATTACAACCCACCTAAGCTGATAATTGTAAGTTGTTTTTTTTTTGGGGGGGGGGGGGGGGGGGGGGTGCAGACTGTGTCCTGCTCTGTAAGGATAAGCCAAATTCCTACTATATTTTCTATTTCCAGTCCACTCCTCCCATTTTTATTTATGTGTTTCTCCAGTGAGGAAAATGTATCTAGTTAGTGATGTGTTGACAATTCCTTGTTGAATATAAAGAGTGGCTTCTGGACATTTTTATCCATGTTATATAGAGAGTTCTATTTAGTCTTGATATTTTTTACATATTGAAGGATATTTTAGCAAAGAGGAAAAAATAGCCTAATGCCTTACCTAATTTTACTCAGATTTTATTTTGTTGTGGCCCACGTTTGGCTGATAAAGAGCACTTCCTGTTCCCTCTGCCTGGAATATTCTTTCCCCCAGACTGTCGTACGGCAGTTCAGGCTCTGCTTAACTATCTCCTTATGGAAAGTCTTCCTTAAGTAGTACCCCCTCCCCATCTACTCCTACATTATTCTGTATACCTCTTTACTGTCCTTTTGAATAGCACTGTGAGCAGGAATCTTTGTACTGCTTTATATCCACAGCAGTTGGAAGGGCACCTGGCACAAGTAGGTCCTTATCAATATGCTGAATGAGTGAAAGAATAAACTCATTATGAAAGGATTTTTTTTGTAAACTCAGATTTATAGTCAGGAAGAAAGAATTCCTTCCTCATTTGTGTTCTTCTCTCAAGGGAAGCCACACCAGTCTATGCATAATGGGTTAATGTGTGGAGCTATACATTTCTTATTTGTGCATTTTTCTGTAGATATTTTATACTTCAGTAAATGTTTTTGAAAGGTATGCACATACATATGTACAAGCTGATTCATAGGCAAATGCCTATTAAATATGTACATTTGAATAAGGAATATATATTGACAGAGTTGTTTTTGTGGGTTAAAGTAAGATGACGACTTAAGTTTTTTTTAAGTTCTAGTTTGAGGAGATGAAACTTTAGTCATGAGTTAAAGTTAGAAATAGTAAAATTTGGAAGGGACTTCTAACAGTGATTCAGTTATCATTTACTGTGCAGAACAGCTCTATTAGATGGCCTCTATATATGCAAAAAAATTAACGTTTCTAACTCTTTAATGAAAACCATTTAAAATAAAAATATTTGTACATTAGAGTCATACAGGTTCCCATTACTACACTTTTATTCATGGAAATTATGTAGAAGAATATGATAACTGTGATCATTAAGACTGTCAACTTGGCTGGACCATGATTCTCAGTAGTTTGGCAGTTATGATGCAGTTTGGCAGCTGTATGATGATGTGATCACTTCCCATGATGAGATTTGATATAATGTGATCACCTCCATGGCGGGATCTGCTGTGAGTAGCCAGTCAGTTCAAAGGGAGTTTCCTTGGGTGTGTGGCCTGCATTCAATATAAGTGGGCTTTCTGGCAAGGCTTGCGGACTTTTGTTTGTGCTGGATCCTGCAGCTGGCTCCTGTTTGTCTGACTTTTGGTTCTTGGGATTTGAGCTAGCAGCTTACCTGCCATCTTGCCTGCCAATCTTGGGATTTGTTGATCTTCACAGCTTGTGAGCAAGAGCCCTGCTGTCTGACCTGCCGATCTTGGGTTTGCCGGCAAAATAACACCACCAGTAGATCAGGTGTTGGTGAGAGGTGAGGCTCTGGGTGATTGCATGTTTGATACCTTTCTACAATTCTGTCATAATGAGAAGTATAAGGAAGCTAGAAAAAGTGGTGAAAGAAAGAGATGAGCTCCGGGCTTCACAGTCAAAGCTCAAGTACCATATAGACAACATCAGAAGTTTACACTTGTGCCTTGAAAGAAAGCCTTATTTCTTGTAGTTAACAGAGCTGATATTGCCAAAAACCAAACCCAGAGTCTTATCATAAGAGTGGCTGAATTACAATGCCAACTCAATTTCCAGCCTTGAGCAGTGTCTGAAGTTAAAGTGTGGGAATTTACTGGGAAGAAATAAGATCCTGGAACTTGGGATGGGGATGGGCAGATAATCAGGAAGCTGAAAACACTGAGCCCCTAAATTCCGTTGAATCACTCCTGCCAACAGAACCAACCCTCTCCCATCTGAAGAGATTACTCCATCTTTGTCTGCTAAGCCACCCTCCCTAGTAAAACCATTAGCCCTTCTACCTCTGTCCGATGAGATTAACCCAGCTGTATCTGAAGATCCTTTGTCTGAGTCATTGCCTGGGGCACCACCAATTTTGGCTTCTAGACCTATAACTAGACTGAAGCATCAGCGAGCCCCAAAAGGTGAAGTACAAAGGGTGACCCTTGACAGAGGAGAATTTTAACAATCAAGTGGACAGGATGACACATTCCTGGAAACCAGTCATCCTCTTCCCCTAGCCACTCTCGTCGTTGCCCAGTGGGCTCATGAATGAAGTGGACACGGTGGCAGAGGTGAGGTTATGCATGGGCTCAGCAACATGGACTTCCACTCACCAAGGCCAACTTGGCTACAGCCACTGCCAAGTGCCCAACACTGAGTCCCCAATACGGCACATTTCTCAAGGTGACCAGTCAGCAACCTGCTTGCAGGTTGAATACATTGGGCCGCTTCCATCATGGAAAGGGCAGCGTTTTGTTCTTACTGGACTAGACACTTACTCTGGATATGGATTTGCCTTCCCTGTACACAATGCTTCTACCATCTGTGCACCTATAGAATGCCTTATCCACTGTCACAGTATCCCACACAGCATCAGCTCAGATCAAGGGACTCACTTCACAGCAAATGAAGTGCAGCAGTGGGTCTGTGCTCATGGAATTCGCTGGTCTTACCATGTTTGCCATCATCCTGAAGTAGCTGGCTTGATAGAACAGTGGAATGGCCTTCTAAAGACACAATTACGGTGCCAGCTAGGTTGCAGTACCTTGCAGGGTTGGGACAACATCCTCCAGGAGGCTGTATATGCTCTAAACCATCATCCAATATATAGTGCTGTATCTCCCATACCCAGGATTCTTGGGTCCAGGAATCGGGGTGGAAATGGGAGTGGCACCACTCACTATTACCCCTAGTGACCCACTCAGAAAATTTTTGCTTTCTGTCCCTGCAACCCTATGCTCTGTGGGTCTAAAGGTCTTAGTTCCAAAGGGAGGAATGCCCCCACCTGGAGACATATCACTGATTCCATTGAACTGGAAGTTAAGGCCACCTGGCCGCTTTGGGTTCCTTATGCCTCTAGATCAACAGGCAAAGAAGGGAGTTACCATACTGGCTGGTGTGATTGATCCTGATTACCAAGAGGAAATCAGATTGATATTATATAATGGAAGCAAAGAAGAATATGTCTGGAATGCAGGAGATCCCTTAGGGCATCTCTTAGTACTACCGTGCCTTCTGATTAAAGTCAATGGAAAACTACAGCAGCCCAATTCCAACATGACTACTAATGGCCCAGGTCCTTCAGGAATGAAGATTTGGGTCACCTCACCAGGCAGAGAACCACAACCAGCTGAGGTGCTTGCTGAGGGCAAAGGGAATACGGAATGGGTGGTGGAAGAAGGTAGTTCTAAATTACCAGTTATGACCAAGTGAGCAGGTGCAGAAACAAGGACTGTAATTGTTGTAAGTATTTCTACTTTGTATGTATGCATCAAATATTTTTGTTTTCTTCATTTATAAAATATAAGATGTAAACAGAGCTAGTGCATTTTCAGTTGTATGTGTGTTAGTTGTATCATGTTAGGCGCAAATATGACTTTATAATTGTCTTCATTCAGAGATTATGGTTTAAGGAGATGTGTCCAGGTGTCAAGTTTACAAGGGGTGGACTGAGATTGTTAAGGTTGTGTGTCAGCTTGGCTGGGCCGTGATCCTCAGTGGTTTGGCAGTTATGATGTAGTTTGGTAGTCATATGATGATGTGATCACTTCCGTGATGAGATTTGATACAGTGTGATCATCTCCATGATGGGATCTGCTATGAGTAGCTGCCAGTCACTTGAAAGGGAGTTTCCTTGGGCATCTGGCCTACATCCAACGTAAGTGGGCTTTCTGGCAAGGCTCGCGGGCTTTTGCTCCCACTGGATCCTGCAGCTGGCTCCTGTTTGTCTCCCCTTCGGTTCTTGGGATTCGAGCTAGCAGCTTACCTGCCATCTTGCCCGCCTATCTTGTGTTCACCAGCCCCTGCAGCTGTGTGAATCAGGACACACCTCTATTCTAACCGATGGACTTGGGACTTACAGCCTTTACAACTGCGTGAGCCATTTCCTTGATATAAATCTCTATGTATATATTTACATGCTTTACTAGTTTTGCCTGTCTAGAGAACCCAGCCTAAGACAATGGCATAAGGAAAGGTAGGGGTAGAAGTAGTGCAGGATAAGAAACAGGTATATTGTATCGACTCTGAAGTCTTAAAACTGTATGAAGAGAAGGGAGCCACACACTGAATTAATTTTTTTGACAACTCTACGCAAGCCTAGTGTTCATTAAAAACTTTTTACTTGTGCCAGGTACCATGATAGGGATACAAACTACAGTTCTACAGTCAAGAAATTAGTGGTCTAGCAAGAAGAGACATGTAAATCAAGTGCACTATGAAAATAATATTAAAGATGTGTGCATAATGCCATAGAATAATGGAGGAAGCAGTTAGTTCAGGGCTTTATAAAGGTCATGTTAGGGCTGAGATTTGAGAGAAGAGTAGATGTTTATCATAGAGAAAAGGGCTACAGAATGTTCTAGAAGAGGGAACAGCCTAATTCTGTTTAGGTAACATATGAGGATATGTGGTAGAAGTTGGTTGGGAGGAGACTGTGAAGGACCCTGTACATTGCAATGCTAAGGACTTTATATTGCAGACGGTTAAGAAGCCACTGAAGAATTTCAAACAGGAGAGCAATGCAGCTGAATTTTTTTAAATTAATTAATTCTGGTGGTCTTATAACGAATGGATTGGAGGAAGACAAAATTGAAGGCAGGAATAGCAGAAACCATTTTATTATCCTTTGCAAAAGATGATGACTTCAACTAAAAGAGATTTCGAGAGTATTTAAAAAGTGGGGGCAGTAGAAAGAAGGTCTAAGCCCGGTTAGTAAAAGAAATAGGAACTCTGAGAATGGGAGAAGTGCCTCTCTTCAAAGCTTAATTCTGAAGAATTAATAAAAGCAAGGTTTATAAAACAAAAAAAGAGCAGAAGCCAACATATAGCCAACTACTGAGTGCTTAATTCTGGGTGGTGGGCATACTGTACCTTTCTATATATAAAAGTATCTATTTTTAAGAAAATAAAAGTCGATGTTACGATATTTCCCTTTTTCCTGTCTCCAGAAATGCCTTGCGTTGCAGAATATGATGATGGCTTATGGTATAGAGCAAAGATTGTTTCCATTAAAGAATTTAGTCCTCTAGCTGTCCTGGTACAATTTGTTGATTACGGATCAACTGAAAAGCTGACAACAAACAGGTAAAAAAAAAAGAATCAATTTAGTTGAATTAGGCTTCTTAGTTTTGTTTTCTTTTTTAATCATTCTTTATTAGGAAGATTTTCCCTCTTTCTAAAAGAATAAAAAAAGCTATTTTAAACTGTTTATAGTAGGAATTTTTTTAAATCTAGAAGAAATTTCTTAATGAAGATACGGTTCATGTATCGTAAAATCACTTTTTTAAAGTGTACAATTCACTGATTTTTAGTATATTCAAAAATGTTATGCAACCATCACCACTATCTAATTCCAGAATGTATTCATCATCACAAAAAGAAACTCCTAACCCATTAGGAATCACCCCCCATTGTTCCTTTCCCCCAGCTCCTGACAACCATTGATCTACTTTCTGTTCTATATATTTGCATATTCTTGCTATTTCATAGGGATCCCTAGGGGCATGGTGGTTAAACACTCGCTGCTAAACGAAAGGTCAGCAGTTCAAACCCACCAGCCACTCCACAGGAGAAAGATGTGGCAATCTGCTTTCTTAAAGATTTCAGCCTAGGAAATCCTATGGGGCAGTTGTATTGTATCCTGTAGGGTCACTATGATTCAGAATCAACTTGACAGCAACTGGTTTGGTTTTGGATATTTCATAGAAATGGAATCATACAATATGTGGCCCTTAGTGACTGGCTTTTCTTTCATTTACTACGAAGTTCACAAGGTTCATCCGTATTGTAGCTTGTATCAGCACTTCATTCCTTTTATTGCTGAGTAACATTCCATTGTATGGATATACCACTTTTTATCTGTTCATCAATTGTGAGGACATGTATGTTTTCATTTCTCTTGGGTATATACCTAGGAGTGGATTACTAAGTCATATGATGACTCTGTTTAAAATTTTGAGAAACTGCCAAAATGTTTACCAAAGTGGCTGCACCCACCAGCAATATTTGAAGGTACCAATTTCTCACATCCTCTCCAACACTAGTTATTTTCCATTTTATTGACTATAGCCATTCTAGTGGGTATGAAGTGGTACATCATTGTGGTATTCATTTGCATTTCCCTAACTAATGATGATGAGCATCTTTTTGTGTGTTTATTGGGCAGTTGTATCTTCTCTGGAGAAATTTCTATTCGCATCTTCTGCCTATTTTAACAAGAATCACTTGAGTTTCTATACAACAGCAATGAGAAATCTGAAAGGGAAACTAGGGTAGCAATTCCATGTAAAACACAACAGAGAGTCCCTGACGGAGCAGGAGAAAAGTGTGGAGCAGAACTCAAATTCACGTAAAAAGACCAGACTTAATGGTCTGAGACTGGAGGAACCCTCGAAGCCATGGCCCCTGGATGCTCTCTTAACCCAGAACTAAAATCATTCCCGAAGCCCATTCTTCAGACGAAGATTAGAGTGGACTATAAAACATAAAATAATAATCAGGAAGGGTGTGCTTCTTAGTTCAAGCAGATACACGAGACCGAAAGGGCAGCTTCTGTCTGGAGGCAGGATGAAAAGGCAGGAAGGGACAGGAGCTGGTTGGATGGACACGGGAAACCTGGGGTGGAAAGGGGGAGTGTGCTGTCACATTATAGAGATTGCAACTAGTGTCACATAAAAATACGTGTATAAATTTTTGTATGCGAAATTAACTTGAGATTACCTTGACCTGTAAACTTTCACCTAAAGCACAATAAAAACCTAAGTAGGATTTCTGGGCAACATGGTGCTATAGACAGAAGCACCATGCCATCCCTTCACAGCAGAGACCCAAACAACTAAGTCAAATAGAGTCAAACATCAATCCTGGAACACTAAGAGTCAAATGAAAAGATAAAGAACTCACTCACCAAGCACACAATGCAATAAGAAACGGACAGAGAAGAGACAGCGAGGAGAGATACGTGCAGAGGCCCCTATCAGCTAATGCAGCAAGGATTCGCCATCTTGGACTCCTGTCAGAGATCGGCGAACAGGTAATACTGTGAAAGCAGCTTCATGGAGCTCCCAGCAGGAAACAGAACAACTGGTAACCAGTGATATAAGCTTTCCCACCAACCACTCTTCTTCAGTCCCTCTTGGTCTCCTCTTTTTTCCTGTGGCCACAGTTTCATGGCCGGGAGGCACTGGCTTCAGCCCTCTGCCCACCCACACTGGCTCCCTGAGTGCCACTTGTTTGTTGCTTGTGTTGCTTTTTTCCACTTATTTTGGTTTCTCCAATACCTCTCTCCACGTCCCCCTCCTTTCTCTCAAATACCTGGCTCCAAGTGCCATCGTTGCTTTTCCTTGTAAGGCTGTGAAATGCCGCTTAATTCTGGAACTGTTTTCCGGCCCGCACCACCATGCTGCTGGGATCCCCGGGGATTTTTTTGTTTTGATTTGTTCTGTTTTCTGTTTTTTTTGTTTTCTTTTTCTATTTTCGGCATGAAAGCCACTTCTAGCCGGGCTGTACTGCGCAGCTTGGGAGCTACTTCCTCAGTCTACACAGTCGCATGGTGGGATCCCTGGGAGCATTTTTTTTTTTCTCTTTCTTTTTTCCTAATTGTCTTTCTTCATTTCTCAGTTTCTCGTCTTTTTCTACTTACCTTTTCTTCCTCTCCTGAACACCTGGAACTGTATGACACTTCTACCCCTTCCAGCCAGGCTGTACTTTGCAGCCTTGGAGCCACTTCCCCAGTCTTCGTGACGGCATGGTTGGCATCTCTGGGGGCTTTTCTTTTTCTTTCTAATGTTTATTATTTTTTCTTTTAGCCATTTTCTTTTTTTTTTTCCTTTTTGTTTTTCTCCATTTCTCATCTCTCCACTCCAACGGTAAGCCCCCTTAGCACTCTTTTTTTTTTCCTTTGGTTTGTTTTTTGCTCCTCTTTCTCCTCTTTCCCATACCCATCTTAGCTCCACAAATCAGTCTCCTTCCTACCTACCTTCACTGTGGGCTGAACATCACACCTGCAAGGAGCGCAGGCACGGCCTACCGGAACCTGCCCTGCACTGATTCCCAGCTTGCCCTGTAGACCCTTGTACGTGCCACAAACAACCCATCGCAGCAACTCCCTTTCAGCTGGACCTGCCCTGCTGCACCATAGGTGAGCGACTGACCCTGCCCATTGGACAATGAGGTGAAACGTATCATGCCCACAGATGAGCAAACAGCAAAGAACTCACAGCCTGCCTGCTCAGACATAACCAAACGAAAAAGCAGAACGAAACAAATCTACAATCAGTAAACAAGGAAAATAACTACTGAATGTTCCAAAGGCAGGAGACAGTATCAAAACATAAAAAACAGGACAGGATGCTTCGAGTAGGCTTCCAAAATAAAACACTAGATGACTTTCCAGTAAAAGAAAAGGCACTAGAATTACCTGATAGGGAATTCAAATCTCATATTCACAGCTGTCCAAGAGTTGAAGCAAAAAGCAGACAAAAATGAACAAAATATAGACAAATTCATGGAAAATACAAACAAAAAAGGAAAAATTCAGGAAAATAATACAGGAACAAAATGCCAAAATAAATTCACAACTAGAAATCATACAAATATAACAATTAGAAATCCAAAAGATAAGATTTCAGAAATGGACAGTGTCATAGAAGGGCTGAGGAGCAGGTTTGAAATGATGGAAACGGCATCAGTAAAATTGAGGACAAACACTTGGATACAACTCTCCAGACAAACCAGAAAAAAGACCAAAGAAAAATGAGGAAACACTGAGAATTACATGGGATCCAGTGAAGGGTAAAAATACGCACATGATCGGAGTTCCAGAACAGGGGAGAAAACAGAAAACACAGGATTACTGAAGAACTGCTGACAGAAAACTTCCCCAGTATCATGAAAGATGAAAAGCTGCCCATGCAAGAAGCTCAACGAACCCCATGTAGGATAGACCGGAAAAGAAAATCACCAAGGCATATCATAATCACACTCACTAAAACCAAAGACAGAGAATCCTGAGAGCAGCTCCAGAAAAACAAAAAGTCACATACAGAGGAGAAACAAGAAGACTAAGCTCGGATTATTTGGCAGAAACCATGCAGAAAACAAGGCAATGGGATGATATATATAAAACTATGAAAGAAAAAAATTGCCAGCCAAGAATAATATATCCTGTAAAACTCTCATTCAAATATGATGTTCGTGAAATTAGGACATCTCCAGATAAACAAAAATTAAGGGGCTATGTATAAACCAAACCAAACTTACAAGAATTATTAAAGGGAGTGCTTCGGTCTGAGAACAAACAACATCAGACCAAAGGCTGAATCTAGGACACAAGACCGTAGCAGCCACGTACCAACCTAGGAAATAAACTCTCAAGGACTATCCAAAACCAAAAGAATTACAACAGGGAACTGGAGAGGTTAATCTGTAAATGACAAAAACATCAGAACAATAAAAGAGGGAATAAACAGTTTAGGTAGAGAACCTTCTAATGGAGAGGAAGGCACAGTGATACCAAGTAATACTAGGCTAGTTCAAACCTAGGAAGATAAGGGTAAATTTCAAGGTTACCACAAAGAAAGTTAACAAAACTACTCATCAAAATAAAGAAGAAAAAGATAAAGTCTCAGTAAAAACAAAATCTACAAAAACAAAAGAAATGGAAAAAAATCCACAAACGAGTTCAGCACAGGAGCGGAACAAAGAAAACATCAGCACCACAAAAAAAAGCACTACGAAATGACAGCAATAAACTCACACCTATCAATAATTATACTGAATATATTTAAATGCACCCATAAAGAGACGGAGAGTGACAGAACGGATAAAAAACAGGATCCATCAATATGCTGTCTACAAGAGACACATCTTAGAAACAAAGACATAAATTTATTAAAAATCAACGGGTGGAAAAAAAATATCAAGTAAACAGCTACGAAAAAAGAGCAGGAGTGGCAATACTAATCTCAGATAAAATTTTAAAACAAAATTCACCATAAAATACAAAGGGCACTATATCATGACTAAAGTTTATGTCAGTCATGAAGACATAACCATAAAAAACATCTATGTACCCAATGACAGGG